AAAATCTTAAGAATCGAAAAATCGAAAAATCAAAAAAAAAGAAATGTATTATGAAATAGAAATATTGAAAATTAAAGAAATTGGAAAATCGGAAGACTGTATATCGAAAAACTGCAAAGTAAAAAATGGGCGAACTGAAAATTCAAGGCCTGAAAATTTGAAAAATTGAACAAATCAAACATTGTAAAATCGAAAAAAAAACACAGAAAATAAAGGAAATGAAAAAACGGACAATTGTGATATAAATCAAGAAAATAAAAATTGAAAATTCGCCAAATTAAAAATAAAACTCGGGAACATGAAAAATTGTGGAAACGAAAAATTAAAAAATCGAAAGAAACAACAAGAAATAAAGGAATTGAAAAAATGAAAATTTGTGACATAAAACCGAGAAAATGAAAATTAAAAAAATGGAAACGAAAAATTGAAAATTACAAAAATTAAAAACTGAGAATGTGAAAAATGGAAAAATGAGAAACTGTAATATCGAAAAATTGCAACTCGAAAAATTAAAAAATCAAAAATAAAAAAACGAAAAAGTATATAATGAAAACTGAAAAATGCCGAAAGTGAAAATGAAACATGAAAATTTGAAGAAACAAAAATTTGAAAAATCGAAAGATTAGAAATTGAAAATGAAAGAAATAGAAAAATTGGAAGACTGAAAATCCAAAAACTGCAAATTGAAAAATTTTAAACGTGGAAAATCGTAGAATTGAAAAATCAAAGAAACCAAAAATTGTGATATAAAATCGAGAAACGTCGAGAAAACAAAATTAGTCATTCGCCAGATCGATCTCTTTACTGCGTTATCAGCAAAAAAATATCTAAATCGAATCTTACAATTATCAGACAAAACTGAAAATGTCATACCGGACTTGAACAGCGAGGAAAGTGCTGTCTAAATAACTTTAGACCAATTTTTATAATTCAACAGTTTACATAGTGTATCAAAAATAAAACACCGATAGCTTTCGAACAATTTTGAATGTGTTGGGCTAATTTTTTTTATAATTCCACCAATATTTTCTATTTCTAGGCTTATCAACACATCCTGAACACTCACCCCATGAGGAACATTTAGCTGTGTAAAAAGTAAATTCATACCATACTACCAAAATTCGATACAATATGTTCACTTTTCAGCTTCGTCGTTCTTGGTTCGGAAAAGGACTCTCCCCTGGACGAGGCGACACAAGAATTTCAACCTGATTGATCACCACCGGACCGACGAAAATATCAATTCGCGCTCAATTTCAAATTTTTAACGTTCACTGCAGAGACGCTCGGTCTCCACATGCAGGTTTTGTTCCTTTTAACCGCAAAACATTTGTTAGTGATTTGAAATGTAAATTCATGTTATATGTGCAATGTATGTTTATAACGTTCTGTTTTCGAAAAAATAAAGGGTTTTTTTGCAGCTGGGCAAATGAATCGTTTGAAGATTCATTTCGCAGCTTTTCCCCGTATTAAAATAAAATGTGTTCACTTTCCAACTTTTCCTTTGATTTTATTGGACCTTATTTACCTTGCTTTTTGAATTGACAGACATGAATTGTTGACAGCAGTGCTAGTACGGTAGTGGTATACTAGACGCAAACTTTTAGTGCGTTTATGGCTTCACACCAATTTAACTTTCAATATAATTCAATAGACCGTCACAGCCGGATGTTTTAAACCCCCTTACTGATAACCTACCTGAAAAGACATTTTCTGGTAAAAGCACAGATTAGTACTAAATAAGTTTTATGAAGGGTCGACTGTAAAGTACTTTAAACGTCAAAGCCATAAACGCACTAAATGTTTGCGTCTACTCAGAATTGCCACACAACAATTAAGCATAAATAACTCTTCAGGTAGTCCGACCCCTCTCTAGTGTTCTCTAGTCACTTTTCAAATATCTTAACGCCTGCTATTGCAAGTGAATCACAAATGCAACTTTTTTTTTGAGTTTTTTTAGTCAATCATAACGAATAGAAAAATTTTTATTTTTATTACCGCATCTTACTCTGTTTTTAAAAAAGTAATTTACAATTAACTCTAAATTTCGAAAATTGAAAAATTCAAATATAGAAGAACTGAAAACTCGAGAAATCGAAAAACCTAAAATTTTAAAAATTGAAAACTTAAAATATCGAAAAGTTGAAAGATTGTGAAAACCGAAAGTTCAAAAAACGAAAAATTGAAAATCCAAAAAGTAAAAAGTCGAGAAATCGAAAAATCCAGAACGTGAAAAATCCAAAAGTCGAAATACTAAAAAATCCCAACACTGAAAAATTATTAAAGAATCGAAAAACAGAAAACTCAGAAAATTGAACGAAATATCCTATAATTGGGAAATCGAGAAGCTGAAAAATTGAAAATTCTGGAGCCTGAAAAACCGATAAATCGAAAAATCGAAACATCGAAAAATTAAAAAACTGAGACAATCAAAACATCGAAACGTCCAAATCTCGATAAATCGAGTTCTCAAAAAGTTGAAAAATCGAAAAATAAAAAATTCGGAAAAAAGAAAAATTAAAATATACAAGAACTGAAAACTCGAAAAATTCAGAAATCTAAATATATATAAAACAGTCGAAAATTGAAAAATCTAAACCCAAAAAATAAAAAATCGAAAAGTCGAAAAATAGAAATATTGAAAAATCCCAAAACTGAAACAAATAACCAAAATTGAGAAATTAAAAAATTAGCCAACCGAAAAATCCAAAAATCGAAGAATTGAAGAACTGAAAAATCGAAACTGTAAATTCGAGAAACGGGAAAATAAAAAAAATATATTAATTGAAAAATCGGAAATTTGAAAATTTAGCAACGTCAAAATTTGAAAAATTGGAAAATGGAAATATTGAAAAACTGGAAAATCAAAAAATCCAGAAATCGAAAAATCTAAAATTTAAAACATTGAACAATTGAAATATCGCAAAACTGAAAAATGGAGAAATCCAAACATCAAAGAATCAAAAAAGAAAAATTCGAAAATCTAAAACTTAAAAATTGAAAAACTGAAAAATCGACAAATCGAAACTCCAGAATTTAAAAAAAATTGAAAAAATCGAAACATCCAGAAATTGGAGAATCGGAAAAGCGAGAAATCGAAAAATCGAAACATCGAAATATAGAAAAAAATGAGAAATTGATAAATTGAGAAATCGAACAATCAAAACATTCAAACATCTGAATTCGATAAATCGAGAAATAAAAAAAATTGAAAAATTTTAAAGTATAAAACTGTCGAAAATGTGAAAAATCTAAAGTTTAACGAAAAATTGAAAATCCAAAAGTAAAAAAGGCGTGGAAACCCAAAAACTGCAAACTGAAAAATTTAAAAATTGGAAAATCGACGAATTGGAATCGATTGGCCTGAAAATTTGTAAAATTGAATAAACGAAAAATTGGAAAATCGAAAGAAACAAAAATTAAGGAAATGAAAAAACAAAAAATTGTGATATAAAATCGAGAAAATGAAAAATAACAATCGGAAACAAAAAATTGGAAAAGGGAAAAATTAATTGAGAAACTGAAAAATCGAAAAATGAAAAACTGTAATATTGAAAAATTGCCAAATTGAAAAACTGATGCAAACCAAAAAATTGAAAATTTTGGAAGTCGAGAAATTGTAAAATTGAAAAACGAAAAATTAGAAAATGAAAACTTGAAAAATCTTAAGAATCGAAAAAGCGAAAAATAAAAAAAAGAAATATGTATTATGAAATAGAAATATTGAAAATTACAGAAATTGGAAAATCGGAAGACTGTATATCCAAAAAAAGTAAAAAATTCAAAAATTGAAAAATGGGCGAACTGAAAATTCGAGGCCTGAAAATTTGAAAAATTGAACAAATTAAACATTGTAAAATCGAAAAAAAAAACACAGAAAATAAAGGAAATGAAAAAACGGACAATTGTGATATAAATCAAGAAAATAAAAATTGAAAATTCGCCAAATTAAAAATAAAAATCGGGAACATGAAAAATTGTGGAAACGAAAATTTATGACATAAAACCGAGAAAACGAAAATTAAAAAAATGGAAACGAAAAATTGAAAATGACAAAAATTAAAAACTGAGAATGTGAAAAATCGAAAAACGAGAAACTGTAATATCGAAAAATTGCAACTCGAAAAATTAAAAAATCAAAAATAAAAAAACGAAAAAGTATATAATGAAAACTGAAAAATGCGAAAGTGAAAATCAAACATGAAAATTTGAAGAAACAAAAATTTGAAAAATCGAAAGATTAAAAATTGAAAATTAAAGAAATAGAAAAATTGGAAGACTGAAAATCCAAAAACTGCAAATTGAAAAATTTTAAACCTGGAAAATCATAGAATTGAAAAATCAAAAATTCATACTATATTACCAAAATTCGATAGAATATGTTCACTTTTCAGCACATTTTACGAGACTAAATAAAGTCGTAGTAAATCTGTAAGTAACAAGAATGCGTTGTCGATTTGAAATTGACAAGTTATATTTAAATCGCAGTAAGTCACTGTCGCGAAAAATTTGTTGTTTTTTTGACGAGATTTTTTTACTTGTTTAAATTTATTTATTTTTTCGTTTGAAAATTAACTGATCTTTCTTTTAGTACCTTCTTCGACTTGCACGCAAAACCACTTTCGAAGTGCAGGAAAGAAATACACGATTTTCCATTGAACTGCAACCGGAAACTGCCTCTGCAGAGTACAAGAGGAACTAACGCAGTTCAACCCCTTCTAAAGTAAGTTCAGTGGCAAAGTTGTTGCAGCAACTAGAATGGGAAATTACTACGACACGGAACTTGAAATTGTGAACGATACAGAGTTAGACATTATAATATATATATAATATATATATATTTGGTCTCCACAGATACATATATGTATAACAGTATATAAGACAAGTCAAAAAGAAAAAATACAAACAAAGAAACACTAAAACTAAAAATTAAAAACTAACATTTAACAAGCAAAATAACAAAAAGACAAAATGATATTGTCAACATGCCATCAACATTATCTACACTGAAGCTTACAACATAGATAATTATGATTGGCATGAAGACTACAAACCTGTGAATAAACTGAAGGGACTAACAATAGCACGTGGAACAAAGCAAAAGATTAAATTAGTAGCGTATAAGCGTGCAAAAGGGTGGCCGTTCACTTTGAAGCTAACTTTTGAGAATAATCGTATTGTTCGAATAAGGATCAGACAGGTGGAAGTCTATTATCACAGTGGAGGATACAAGTTAGTACTCCAATTTTTAACTCAACAAGTTTTTGTCGACTAAAAAGAGCCCTGAAAATTTCTATGGGTCCATTTTTTAAAACTGTTTATTGTAGTGTGTCCCAAAAATTTTAATATATGTTTTTGATCGTTTTCAGAGAAAGGACCGATTTGCGTGATGATTGGGTATTGGAGTCGCCTTTCGACATTCACATCGGCCTACGACATGACACTACGGTCGTTAGAATTAGTCAAACACACTACCAATTCCTCAACATGGTCTCCTGGGACCACAACAAAAACGGCGAACTGGCCTTAAAAAACAATAACACAAGGACAGCCATCAAGTATTTCTCGCAAGCTTTTAAGAACGCGCAAAATTCCGACATCAAACAAATTTCTCGACAAAATTTAAGCAAGAGCCACGCCACGCTTGCCAAGCAGCAGATTGACAGCGCTTTGAGTGCAGAAGTCAAAGGACAAACAACAGAAGCCGAAAAGTACTTCAATGAGGCGAAGACTCACCTCGAAGAGGCTAAATCACTGGTAAATTCCACCTTCAATCAAAGCCGTCTTAATTTTATTAAACTAAAAATAAGCGGCAATCACTTGATTAACTCAGCCGTGAAGACCGAAGAGGAAGCAGCGTCTTTGTTTGACGCTGCTTTAGAGTCTGCCGACATTGATGCGGCTTCTGTTGTTGCAAAGTACAACGAAGCGTTGGCGCAGTACAGAGAAGCTTTGGCCAAGTATAACGAAGCCAGTAAATTGGGAGTCGCGAACCTGTCTCAGAGTACGAAGATCACAGAAGAGCAAATTTCTGAGCTGGAAGTAGTGGTTGCCAACATGGAGAACGTCTTGTTGAGAGAAAGACTGAAGAAAATGGAAAAGCAGACGAGAGACACTACGAAAGGACAGGCGGCTAAGCAAGAATATATAGAACACCTGGATGTGGTTTACGAATAACCTGATTAATCAATTTGTATTTTCAAGAACGAAGAAGGTGTATATAATATATACGATCGTGTTGTCGTTAAATTAAATTTTTGGACTCCTGAATTTTCTTTTATTATCCTCCCCATCGACACAATTTCAAATCTGTTGAAGAATTTGCATGAAATTAGTATAAACTTATTTCAGAAATAACTTACTACTTTTCGTCTTCTTGTCGAAACCGCTCTCTCTCCCGACATTTGAATACAATTTTTTGTGTTTTAGATAAACCGGGCGGAATTGACTTTAAGACCCCTGGTTTCGTTGGAGGCGGTACGTAAGTCCCGGAATACTCTTCGTCCCAGTTCTCTTCTGTTTCAATGTTTATATGTTTATCTGGGGAACGTTGATGTATAGTGGGTTGCGGCATTTCCGGAAAATTCGACTGTCACAAAAGGATAATATAATATCGTTTTAAAAATTCTTCCCTAATCTGTACTTACTGACTTTCGCTGTTGTTGTTCGTGTTGTTGTAACATATTGTAAAGTAATTAATTAATTAAAATCAATAAATATAAAATATGTATGTATTAATAAAAGTATAAAATCTGATAAATACTGTCAGTAAATTTGATGTATCTATAGATACACCCTGTCACAAATAACTATATTTCGGTATTCTGACCAACACCTATCGTGTTTGCAGGTTTAAATGTCTCGGTTTTTCAATTTTCCAGCTTTGGAATTTCTCATTCTATCAATTTTTCATTTTTTCAAATTTTGATTTTTTTTATTTTCTTTATTTCTTCAAATATCCGCTTTTCAGTGATTCGATTTTATAATTGTTTTCTGTTTTCATTTTTTTTTAATTGTTCGGTTTTTCAATGTTTTCATTTTATGATTTCTTTTGTTTTCACTGTGAAAATTTTTGAATTTTTCAATTTTTCAATTTTTCAGTTTCAACTTTTAAATCTTAATTTTTCCTTTTTTCAATTTTAGATTTATTTGACGAATTTAGAACTTTTCTCTTGAATTTCTCAATTTGCAATTTTTCAATTTTTAATTTTTTTGTTTCTTCAATTTTACGATATGTAACTCTTCCCAGTTTTCATTTTAAAATTTTTCAGCTTTTCGATTTCCAACTTCTGGATGATTCGATTCTAGATTTTGCAACTTTTCGATTTGCAATTTAACGAGTTTTGAATTAATTTTAAATTTTTCAGTTCTCCAGTTTTTCGATTTGCATTTTTTCGTTTCGGTTTTTTATTTGCTTTTTTTTCAATTTTTCGGTTTTCAGTGTTCTGATTTTCTGATTTTATCATTCTTTTTCTTTTCAATACGAAATTTTTCAATTTTTCGATTTCAAATTTTTCTGCTTTCAATTTTCAATAATTTCAAAAATTTTCCACTTTCTTAATTTTAAGATTTTAGAATTTGTCAGTTGCAGGATTTTTAAAACTTTTTCACTTATTCGATTTTTCATTTTTCAATTTTTGTTATTTTTTTTATTATTACAATTTTTCAATTTCAGTTTTTCAAGTATTCGTTTCTTCGATTTTTCGATTTTTAGTTTTTCAGTTTTTTGATTCTTCAATTTTTCATTTCTTCAAATTTTCGATTTGAAATTTCTCGATTCGGTCTTCTATTTTTCGGTTTTTTAGTATTCTGAATTCATTATTTTTTTAAATGTACCATTTTTCAATTTTTGGATTTTTCAATAATTCGATTTGCAATTTTTCGGTTTTCAACTTTCAGATGTTTCACCTTTTAGATTTATGGATTTTTCCTTTTTTCTTCAGTTTTGTATTTTTTTGTTTTTCCAATGTTTCCAATTTTCGTTGTTCCGATTTTATAATTTTCGGTTTTTGCAAATTAATTTTTTTCAGTTTTCCGTCTCTTCAATTCTCGATTTTTTTTTTGTTTTTACAGTTTCACAACATGCAACAAGTTTTCATTTTTAATTTTTTCAATTTTTCGATTTTCCAACTTCTATGTGTTTCATTTCTAGATTTTGCAAATTTTCGATTTCCAATTTCACGAGATTTAAATCAATTTTTATTTTTTCGATTTGTACTTTTTCGTTTGGGTCTTTTTCTTTATTTTTTTCAATTTTTTGGTTTTTCAGTATTCTGATTTTATCGTTTTTTCTTTTTTTCGGTATGAAATTTTTCAATTTTTCGGTTTTTTACTGTTCTGATTTCATAAGTTTTTTTTCAATGTGCAATTTTTCAATTTTTTGTTTTTTAATTTTTTTATTTTTCAAATCTTCAATTTCTCATTTCTTTAAATGTTCGATTTTCAGTTTTTTGTATTTTTTTGTTTTTCCAATGTTTCCAATTTTCGATATTCCGATTTTATAATTTTCGGTTTTTGCAATTTCAAATTTTTCAATTTTCCGTTTCTTCAAGTTCTCGATTTCCAATTTTCGATTTTTATTTATATATGCAACTCTTCAAGTTTTCACTTTTAAACTTGTCAGTTTTTCGATTCTCCAACTTGTAGGTATTTAAAATGAAAATTAGAAAAATTACAATCAACATTGAAGAGACGAAAAATTTAAAAATCTAGAACATGAAAACTCTAAAATTGAAACAGGATAAACTAAAACATCAAAAGTTGAACTCCAAAAATTGATAAATTTCGCAGCCGAAAAATTGAAAAAATTAAAATTGAAAACAGAAAAAATTATAAAATGGAAACTTTGAAAAATCGAATAATTGAAGAAATAAAGAAAATAAACAACTGCAAATCGAAAATTTGAAGAAATGAAAATTTGAGGAATTGAAATATTGAAAAATTAAAAGTCCAAAAAATTTTGAAATCCAATTCTAAAGTCATAAAACTGCAATATCGAAAAAGTTAAGATTGAAAATCAAAAAAGTGAAGAAACGAAAAATTGAAAAACTGAATTTGAAAAAAAATTATAAAATCGATGTAGTGAAAAATCGAAAAATTGCAGTCATAAAGAAAATAAAAAACATGAAGAAAAATGGCAAATTGAAAATGTGAAGGAACGAAAAAGTTTGAAAACTCCAATAACTGAAAAATTCTAAAATATTAAAATTGAAAAAGTGAACATTTTTTAAAATTATTGAAAAATGAAAATTGAAAAATTTAAAAACGAAAAATTGAAAAATTGGAAATTGGAAAGACAAAAAATTATAAAACCGAAAATTGGAAAAATTCTGAAGTTAGAAAGTTGAAAAGCTGAAAAAAAAATTAAACTTGCTTTAAAATTGCAATAGAGGTAGAAACTCCCATAAGTAGTCACAACAGTTTATTAAAAAGTATACAAAAATAAAAAAAAAAGAATCGCATATAAACATACGTGAGAAAGATAAATTAACTACTGAAACTAAAAAATCAAAAAACACGAAAATGAGTACACAACAATATGACAAAAACCCAGCTTTGGAATTTCTCAGTTTTTAGATTTTTCAATTTTTAATTGTTCAGGTTTTAGATTTGCAATGTTTCTGGTTTTCTATTTAAATATGTAATATTTTTTTAATTTTTCATTCTATCAATTTTTCATTTTATCAAATTTTGAACTTTTTAATTTTCTTTATTTCTTCAAATATCCGATTTTCAGTGATTCGATTTTATAATTGTTTTCTGTTTTCATTTTTTTTTAATTGTTCGGATTTTCAATGTTGTCATTTTATGATTTCTTTTGTTTTCACTGTGAAAATTTTTGAATTTTTCAATTTTTCAATTTTTTAGTTTCAACTTTTAAATCTTAATTTTTCCTTTTTTCAATTTTAGATTTATTTGACAAATTTAGAACTTTTCTCTTCATTTCTCCATTTGCAATTTTTCAATTTTTAATTTTTTTGTTTCTTCAATTTTACGATATGCAACTCTTCCCGGTTTTCATTTTAAAATTTTTCAGCTTTTCGATTTCCAACTTCTGGATGATTCGATTCTAGATTTTGCAACTTTTCGATTTGCATTTTAACGAGTTTTGAATTAATTTTTAATTTTTCAGTTCTCCAGTTTTTCGATTTGCATTTTTCGTTTCGGTTTTTTATTTTCTTTTTTTTTTCAATTTTTCGGTTTTCAGAGTTCTGATTTTCTGATTTTATCATTCTTTTTCTTTTCAAAAAGGGAATCAACTCTGTTACTTTCAATTAGTTAACTTTAATAATTTAGTTTAATTTGTATAGAGTACCCATAGGATTTTTTTTTCCTCTACTCTGTAATTTCTCTGTAAAATAAAAAATAAATAAATAAAATTTTTCAATTTTTCCATTTCAAATTTTTCTGTTTTCAATTTTCAATAATTTTAAAAATTTTCCACTTTCTTAATTTTAAGATTTTAGAATTTGTCAGTTTCAGGATTTTTAAAACTTTTTCACTTATTCGATTTTTCATTTTTCAATTTTTCTTTATGTTTGTTATTTTCTTTATTATTACAATTCTGCAATTTTCCAATGCATCGATTGCATAATTTTATGTTTTTTCAATTTCAGTTTTTCAGGTATTCGTTTCTTCGATTTTTCGATTTTTAGTTTTTCAGTTTTTTGATTCTTCAATTTTTCATTTCTTCAAATTTTCGATTTGGAATTTCTCGATTCGGTCTTCTATTTTTCGGTTTTTTAGTATTCTGAATTCATTATCTTTTTAAATGTGCCATTTTTCAATTTTTGGATTTTTCAATAATTCGATTTGCAATTTTTCGGTTTTCAACTTTCAGATGTTTCAACTTTTAGATTAATGAATTTTTCCTTTTTGCTTCAAATTTTCGATTTGCAGTTTTTCGTTTCGGTTTTGTATTTTTTTGTTTTTCCAATGTTTCCAATTTACGTTGTTCCGATTTTATAATAATTTTTTCAATTTTCCGTCTCTTCAATTCTCGATTTTTTTTTTTTTTGTTTTTACAGTTTCAGAACATGCAACTCTTCAAGTTTTCATTTTTAATTTTTTCAATTTTACGATTTTCTAACTTCTATGTATTTCATTTCTAGATTTTGCAAATTTTCGATTTGCAATTTCACGAGATTTAAATCAATTTTTAGTTTTTCGATTTGTACTTTTTCGTTTGGGTTTTTTTCTTCATTTTTTTCAATTTTTTGGTTTTTCAGTATTCTGATTTTATCGTTTTTGTTTTTTT